GCTTCCAATATTAGCGTTAGTGACTACCTGTGGCTTGGCAGGTGATCCTGGGAGTGGTCAGGACCTGGGAGATCAGCCTGGACATGGAGTTCTCTGATGTGGGCTCCAAAATTTGACTCTGAGAGGTCCTTGAAGATTCGCCTCTTATTTTTACATTTCACTTAAGTTATACACCCTTATTTAAAAATACTTAGCACTGAAACATGTATCAAGTGAAAAGTGAGAGTCTGTTTCCCACCTTCCCCATTCCTCTCCAGGAGTAATCGCTGTTAATATTTTGACATGTACTTACCCAGACACTTTCCTATGCATATATGTATATGTATAATTTTGTTTTTACAAAAAATGGGGTCATTTGTTCTGGAGTTTTCTTTGTTTCTCTCATCAATATCTCACAGATCTCCTACGTCACCATCAGACCTACCTCGTTATTTTAAAAGTAATGATTATCAGATGTTCCACAAGTTATAGAGATTCCTTCCTCAGGCCGTGTATCTCCTTTTTTGGGGGGCTATCACAAAAGCAATGCTACGTGGATATTCTTTTTACAAATGTCTTTGTGTATATATATTTTCCTAGAAATGGAAATGCTATATGAAAGTATATGTGCACTTTTAAAACAAACATATAGACCAGTGGAACAGAATAGAGAACCCAGATATGGACCCTCAACTCTATGGTCAAATAATTTTTGACAAAGCAGGAAAAACATGCAATGGAAAAAAGACAGTCTCTTCAATAAATGGTGCTGGGAAAATTGGACAGCCACATGCAGAAGAATGAAACTCGACCATTCTCTAACACCATACACAAAGATAAACTCTAAGTGGATGAAAGACCTCAATGTGAGACAGGAATCCATCAAAATCCTAGAGGAGAACATAAGCAGTAACCTCTTTGACATCGCCCACAGCAACTTCTTTCAAGATACATCTCCAAAAGCTAGTGAAACAAAAGCAAAAATGAACTTTTGGGACTTCCTCAAGATAAAAAGCTTCTGCACAGCAAAGGCAACAGTCAACAAAACAAAGAGGCAACCCACAGAATGGGAGAAGATATTTGCAAATGACACTACAGATAAAGGGCTGGTATCCAAGATCTATAAAGAACTTCTCAAACTCAACACCCAAAAAAACAAATAATCAAGTCAAAAAGTGGGCAGAAGATATGAAAAGACACTTCTCTGAAGAAGACATACAAATGGCTAACGGACACATGAAAAAATATTCATCATCATTAGCCATCAGGGAAATTTAAATCAAAACCACATTGAGATACCACCTTACACCAGTTAGAATGGCAAAAATGGACACGGCAAGAAACAACAAATGTTGGAGAGGTTGTGGAGAAAGGGGAACCCTCTTACACTGTTGGTGGGAATGCAAGTTGGTACAGCCACTTTGGAATACAGTGTGGAGGTTCCTCAAAAATTTAAAAATAGAGCTACCCTATGACCCAGCAATTGCACTCCTGGGTATTTACCCCAAAGATACAGATGTAGTGAAAAGAAGGGCCACATGCACCCCACTGTTCATAGCAGCAATGTCCACAATAGCCAAACTGTGGAAAGAGCTGAGATGCCCTTCGACAGATGACTGGATGAAGAAGATGTGGCCCATATATACAATGGAATATTACTCGACCATCAGAAAGGATGAATACCCAACTTTTACATCAGCATGGATGGGACTGGAGGAGATTATGCTAAGTGAAAGAAGTCAAGCAGAGAAAGTCAATTATCATATGGTTTCACTTATTTGTGGAACGTAAGGAATAGCAGGGAGGACAGTAGGAGAAGGAAGGGGAAAGTGAGGGGGCGGGGAGTTGGAGGGAGAGATGAACCATGAGAGACTATGGGCTCTGAGAAACAAACAGGGTTCTAGAGGGGAGGGGGGGGGTTAGCGCGGTGATGGGTATTAAGGAGGGCATGTACTGCATGGAGCACTGGGTGTTATACGCAAACAATGAATCGTGGATCACCACATCAAAAACGAATGATGTATTGTATGGTGACTAACATAACATAATAAAATTTAAAAAAAAAAGAAAGTATATGTGCACTTTTTTCTTTTTTTTAATTTTAATTTTATTATGTTAGTCACCATACATCATTAAGTGTATGTGCACTTTTAATTTCAATTGGCACCACCAGATTATCCTCCAAACAATTGGAGTCAGTTTATACAGCGTCCAAGAGCATATAAGAGTGTCCTTTTCCACACGGCCTAACAGCACTGTTTGCAAACTCTTTTTTCTTTTTTTGCAAACTCTTTTCTATCTCTCAGTCTGATGATGGGAAAAGAAACAATACTTTATTACAGTTTTACTTTTTTTCCTAGTTGCTGGGGGAATTTTTTTGTATTTTTGACCATTTTAGTGTTTCCCTTCTTTGAATTTTCCAGCTGAATCCTTCCCCATTTTTTCTCTGTGGTTGCTTTGTTTTTATTATTACTTTGCAAGGGTTATAATGTGCTTAAGAGATATTCTGTTATGTTTTCTTTCTTGATCTGACTGATAACTCTCTGTTCTCAGTATGCAGCTTGAATAGATGTTTTCCCTTTTACTTATGCTCTCTTCATTCTGGGAACACAAATCATTCATCTCCCTAGAAAGAGAAATGGAACATTCTTATCAGCTCTCATGTTAGTCTGTTCCCAAACATCTGAAACTTACATGGACACAGATGTCATGGAATGCACATAGTTGGCAATCATAATAGGTTACATAAGTTGAGTGTTTACTATGAGTCAGGCCCTCTGTTTAAAGTGCTCAGATGCTTTTGTGTCATTTAATCCTCCCAGTGACTATATGAGCTACCCCCACGTTCATTGCAGCATTAGTCACCATAGCCAAGACATGCAAACAACCTAAGTGCTGACGACAGATGAATGGGTAAAAAAAATGTGATATACACCCAATGGAATATTACTCAGCCATACAAAAAAGGAAATCCTTCCATTTGTGACAACATGGATGAAGCTTGAGGCTATTATGCTGAGTGAATAAAGTCAGATAGAGAACACAAATACTATCTGATCTCATTTATATGTGGAATCTAAAAAAGCCAAACTCATAGAAACGAAGAGTAGATGGTGGTTTCCGGGCTGGGGTGGGAAGTGGGTGAATGGGGAGAGCTTGGTCAAAAGTATATCCTTCAACTGTTATTAAGATGAGTAAGTTCTAGGGATATAATGTACAGCATGGTGAGTGTAGCTAACAATACTGTTGTATATTTTAAAGTTGCTAAGAGCATAGATCTTAAATGTTCTCACACACACACACACACACACACACACACACAGTAACTATGAGATAATGGATGTGTAAACTAACTTTACCATGGTAATCATTCCACAGTATATATGTATATCGAACCATCAAGTTCTACACCTTAAACTTACACAGTGTTACAGATCCATTGTATCTCAGGAAAGCTGGAAAAAACAAACAGTAAAAAAATTTTAAATGGGAAAAATTAAATTATACTGTTTGGGCACGGATGTATATGTGGTAAAATTAGAAGGGAAATCAAAGAAGTGATTAACATAAAACATAGAATAGTGGGGGAGAGGGGAGTTGCAATTTGACAGAGGCACAAAGGCAGGTTCTGGGAAGCTGGCAATGATGTATTTCCTAAACAGGTGGTAGATGCATAGGGTTTGCCTTGGGAGAAATCATCAAACCATAAAAACAAAAATTAGAAATCAAAATACATTTTTAAAAATTTCAAAAAAATTTAAACATTCCAAATAGAACTCACTCACTTATTCGTTAATTTCTATATTGATTTCTTTATTCTTTTATTTAGCTAGATCCTATGGGATATGGTAATGGATAAGACAGAGCTCCTCCTTTCATAGAACTTACAATAAAGCATAAGAGATGTTATACACTAGACTACAAGCTCCATGAAGTCAGGGGCAAGGTGTATTTTGTTCTTCATGGTAGCCCCAGTATCGAGCGTCAGGCACCTAATAGGAACTTAGTACATATTTGTAGAATGAATGGAAGAATAAGTAAAGTAGTTTCTTAGGCAATTACTTGTTAAAATATCATTGAGATAAGTGCATTGAAAGAGAAACACAGGGAGTTTGGAAAATGTAAATCACAAAGATCTAACCTAACCTTCCTGAGGAAATGGTGCTTCAGCTGAGATCTGAGAAGTGGAGGAGAAGAAAGCGTTTTAGTGTTATACGCAAACAATGAATCATGGAACACTACATCAAAAACTAATGATGTACTGTATGGTGACTAACATAACATAATTAAAAAAATAAAATAAATTTAAAAAGAAAAAAAAGCATTTTAGGCAGAAGGAATTTTGGGGGAGGCACAGACATTCAAACTATAGCAGTGTTGATCCAAATTATTACAAGGAAATAAGATTGCTGCTAATTAATGAGGGCAGGGAAGTATATGTCTGGAACTCGTGGGATTCACTGGGACACCAGCAGGTGCTTTATGAATGGTTGTAATGAGTTAGACCTATAATGGGTAGTGTGGGCAGAGAACCCTGATTCTGATTGTTCACTGAGGACCCAAAGTTATGATATAGCACAGGTACAGTGTTTCAGAGTGATAAAGTCAATATTATAGAAGAAGAAATCAGGGCATCGCTAAGAGTGAATCGTTGTTAGATAAATTCTGTAAACAATATGACATAATTGGTAATAAAGCTCATGTGCTTGTGACACTCAGCTAAGGCTTCCAGGGGTGTCTTTTCCACACAACCTCTGCTTGAAATGCTTAGGGAGGATGTAATTTATACAGGGAAGATAAGAGAAACAACTCTTTTAATTGGGGGGCCCCCAGCATTACTGGAATTTAGATCCACTCCAATTCACAGATTTCCTTTGTCAAGTAATTGTACAAAGACCTTTAACATTGTAATAATGTTCTGCAACCACAGAGAACTGCACCAAGCACAGCTAACAAGGCCATGGAAAGTCAGAGTCAGAGAACCTAAAGTCAGACCTGAAAGACACCATTTGACAACCAACCTAGATCAGTAGAAGCACGGAACAAGTAGAAGGGAGATCTGGTGGAGGGGACGACATTTTAACTACAATCTTGAGGCAAACTGTAGCAATGGGGACTACAGCTTGTCCTACGAACCCTCCTGTTACCTTTTCTGAAAAGAAAAATGGCACTCAGCCACCATTTTAAAGGAGCAGTGACAGGGTGTAGTGAACTTAATGTAGGGTGCGAGAGGGTCTGAGCGGCGCAAGGGGTAAACAGTAGTAGACACTGTTGTTGCCTCATCCATGTACCCTCAAGTCTTATCATTGTCATGATACTGACAGGAAGTATGTGACTTTCCCCCCCCTACTTTCAGATAGCAGCATATCTGTCTACGTCTGAGAGCTATTTCTGGCAGCCGGAGGTGTCCCGGGGAGTCCCAGGAGTTCCAGATAGACATGCGTAGCAGAGAAGAAGTGCTGAGGAATTAACGCTCCCTAGGAGCGGCCTTCAGTCTCAGCTGGTGGGAGTTGGGTGCGATAACTTAGTTCCTTCGGGTAGGATAACTTAGAGGTATCTGTTCTGCACTGGTTCCAGAGTTCCCCAGCAATAGTAAGGGCTAGTTACGCACAGGAGGAAGCCACGTGGTAGTGTCCCTTTATTGCCTACCTTCCCTTTTCTGTCCTGGTTCCCCACTCCCTCCTGGTGTTCCCTGGGATCGCCTCCCAAAGGAGCTGCTTGTATTCAAACTCTTGTCTCAGGACCTGTTTCTAAGTGAACCCAAATAGCTTCCAATATTATGGCTTAAAAACACCTTGTAGAGGTCCACCTCTCTTAGAAAGCACTGGGCCAGGACATGTCAAATCTCTCATTTCATGGTGGATGCTATTTAGCAAGGAAATGGCCTAAAATATGCCTGCCAAATTCTTTGTGTCTTCTTTTTAGTAAATGTGAAGAGCTACAACCTTTAAAAAGCGTATGATTGAGTCGGCTGCCTGATTACTCAGCAGGGAGGGGTCAGGCTCACAAGACCGACAACAACGAGAAGAGCCACTGTGAAAACAACAGCAGCTGTACAACAAGACGAACAGTTATTGTTTGGGTCCCTTCTACATGTCAGGGATAATGATAAGCACTTCAGTTATAGTTGTTCAGTTATTTACTGTTTTTTCAAAATTATAAAAACATATTGTTCCCTCATTATTACATACAAGGAGACTCAGAGATGTTAAATAACTTACTCTAGAGACTCCCAGACTCTAGATATGTGCTGGGGCTATGATTTTCAGATTGTTGGGGGTGTTTGAGGGATCTCAATAAACAATACCCACTTTCCCAGTTGGGTTCTAAATCAACTTATTAAGACAAGGGCAAACAAAAGATGGGGGCCAAATTGCTACTTTACTCCTGATGATGTCTAGGTTGGAGACATGACTTGAGGTGAGAACCTAAATGTTTTTCTGACTGACCCCAGAAGCAACTATTGCTGGGTTAGGAAGGGTTCCCAGGTGTATATGAGTGGCCGATTTGCCCTTGGAGGTAAATAGCAGAGCACATGCTCCGTGTGAACAGGCTGGTTCCCAGTAAGAAACAGGGATGGTCTGGGCTGAGTGTGCCCCAATTTCTTTTCTGGGGCAGAGTGAGTAAGGGAACAGACTAGGGCAGTTATTACACGAATTGAATCTCCTCCACTTTGAGGTACAAGTCAAGCTGGGTGAAGAAATATTCTTCCCAACACTAGCACACTCTTCCACCTATATTGAATCAACCTTTGGTGACCCACGTGAAGCAAATATGGAGGAATTAAGTAATCACTGGAAGAATTCTCCTTAACATGGTTTCGACCTCCATGTTCAGAAACCTCCAGGGCGCCTGGGTGGCTCAGTTGGTTAAGCGACTGCCTTCGGCTCAGGTCATGATCCTGGAGTTCCGGGATCGAGTCCCGCATTGGGCTCCCTGCTCAGCAGGGAGTCTGCTTCTCCCTCTGACCCTCTTCCCTCTCGTGCTCTCTATCTCTCATTCTCTCTCTCTCAAATAAATAAATAAAATCTTAAAAAAAAAAAAAGAAACCTCCAAAATATTTACCAGAGAGAGCAATCACCTAGAAGAGCCTTCATAAATGATCAGAAGACTGGAAACAGGGCTTCCAGAGAGGGAGTGATTGAGGGTTGTCCCAACAGACAGAGGGAAGTCCTAAGATTAAGATAAATAACAGAACCGAAGATTTAGATTCCATAAACATCTGTGGAGCACTGTGACCCAAGTAAGCTTATATATTACTTATTTTTCATTACTCTTATTATGTAGTTGTTTTTCCAGTCTTACAGATAAAGAAACCAGACCTCAAAATGGAAGAATGTTCCCCAAATTACATAGTGTGAGAGTAGAGGGCTTTTGGTCCTGATTTGTAACTTCTGACTTCAAGTCTTTAGTTCTTGTCACTATAACACTAAATATTATTGGGGTATATGCATGTAGGGTGTTAGACTAACATAATTCAGTCACTTTATTTTATAAATGTTTCAGGAAACCGAGGCTCAGAGACAATCAAGTGATTATCCACTGTCACACAGTTCATTTCTGGCAAAGTGCACCCTGGAACCTGGGACTTAAACTAACGCCCCATTCTGATGTTTCAATAGAACACTGCCTGTTTAAGTATAAAGTGTCAGGTTACTTCTTTTGTATTTATTGCTACCAAACATAATGAATCCTATATTCTTGGGCCAAGGACATCCTCCATAGTTCTGTTATAACTTGATCTAAACAAAAATTTGGAATTTCATTTGCATTTTATATGTATACAAGCCCCTTGCCCCCCACAGGCTTTGCTTAAAGACCAGTAAAAATAACAAGAGCCATTTTGAGAGTAGGTAGTAAACTACTCAGAGCATGGGCATTTCACAGAGATGATCTGAGGTTACTGTTATCACTGGTCCCTCCCTGTCCTTAGATGTCAATCTGCACTTTGAAATATAAACCTAAGAAAAAAGAAGTCTCAAGTTCAGGGAAGCTACAGTGGTTAGGCTCTCAGGAGGCCAATTTCAACTCCCAGCTCTGAGTCCTGGAGTCAGGACTGTAAGGTCCTGGGAAAGAATGTTAAGAGTGTTTTTCTTTTGAATAGTTTTCCCAGAGCCCCCTTCATATCCCTGTTTCTTAGGCTGTAGATGAATGGGTTCAGCATAGGGGTCACCACTGTGTACATTATTGAGAAGACTCTGTCTTTTCCACCTGAGTGGGTTGATGGAGGACATAAATAGACCCCAATAGCTGTGCTATAAAACAGAGAGACAACAGAGAGGTGGGAGATGCAGTTGGAAAAGGCCCTTGTCTTACCCTTTGTGGAACTGATTCTTAGAATAGCCAAAGCAATATAAAAGTAAGATGTAAGGATGCAGATGAAGGGTCCAATTAGCAATGTTCCTGCCACAAGGATGAGCACCAGCTCATTGACATAAGTACTGGAGCAGGCCAGATTCAGGAGTGGGACCAGATCACAGAAGAAATGGGGGATGATATTGGGGCCACAGAAAGAAAGCCTCATCACCAGGAGGGTATGCACTAGGGCATGGAAGGTAGTGACCACCCAAGACCCAGTCACCAACAGGATACACCGTTGGGAGTTCATGGTCATGGCATAATGGAGGGGGTGGCTGATGGCCACATAGCGGTCAAGTGCCATCACAGTCAGGAGAAAGTTGTCCAGATCTGCAAACAGGCCAAAGAAATAAAACTGTGTCAGACACCCACCATAAGAAATCAGTTTACTTCCTGAGCCAATATTATCTAGCATCTTGGGAATTATTGTGGAGATAAAACCAATGTCAGAAAAGGACAGGTTGGCTAGGAAGAGGTACATGGGGGTGTGGAGGTGTGGGTCAGAGGCAATGGCTAGGATGATGAGCAGGTTCCCCACAATGGTGACCAGGTACATGCCCAGAAAAAGCCCAAACAGGAGAGGTTGCTTCTCTGGCCACTCAGAGAAGCTGGTGAGAAGAAATTCATAGATGCTGGTCTGGTTTCTTCTGTCCATGTCTGGAATTCTGTATGAAACAAATTTTTATTACAAGTAGCAAAAAAGTAAAATAATGCTGTGTATATCATATTCCTATTAGAAACCTCATGTGGTTTAGACAATTTTGTTTTGGCAAAGCTCAAATTTATAATTGTGCGTGTTATAAAAGACCCATTTGGATCAAACTCTTTGTAAAGTTATAGATTGGTGTCAGCACCTGAGCAGCTATCCAAGGCTCCTTCAAACTATTGCAGCTTCCCCATGACACATGGCAGTACCTTATGAAAAAACAAATGTGCTCTGATCGCACAGATCCCGTCAGTTTTTTTCATTGAAGAATAATATAATTAAGTAAATAATGTTTTACTTATATTTAAAAATTAATTAAAATGAAATGAAAATAATTAACACTATATCTAATAATTATAAATAATTATGTAATCAATTTAAGATTTTTTAAGGTAAAAATTCAGAACAACATACGTATTTATAATTCCATTTTTGTTAAAATCAAATTACTCCATTCAGTCCCTTTTTTAAAGTTCCCAGCTCTTTGGGGCACCTGGGTGGCTCAGTCAGTTAAGCCTCCGACTTGACTTCCACTCAGGTCATGATCTCAGGGTCATGGGATCCAGCCCCATGTCCGGCTCCCGCTGGGTGTGGAGCCTGCTCAAGATTCTCTCTCTCCCTCTCTCTCTGCCCCTCCACCCCACTCATGCTCCCTCTCTCAAATGAATAAGTTTAAAAAATCTTTAAAAATAAATAAATTCATTTTTCATTCATTCCAACTTTATCAAGATAAAATTAACAGATAAAACTGTATATATGCAAGGTATACAGTGTGATGTTTTAATATACATGTACATTGTAAAATGATGATCACAGTCAAATTAATTCACAGATCTTTTGCCTTAGAGAATGTAAATACCCAATTTGGCAGTTACAGTTCTCATGGCAAGTGAAGATATTGATGTTCTTGGCTTATGCATCTGTCTCTTGTAAGTGTGATTGATGTGAGTCAGTCCATTTCAGTTTAACCCAATGCTTGGATAAGATCCATTTTCTATACTTGGCAAAGCTAATAGCCTCAGACCATGATTATTACTCTGAGAGGCTCGGACTCTTTTCTTTCTGGTATCTCTGTCTCTTTCACCACCAACTGCAACCAAGTCCAGACTCAGGAGCTTAGCAAATAGCAGGAAGTACAGTGATGTAATTCATTGTTTTCATTTAATCATGTCACCTTTACAGTCAGAATTAGAAATAAAGGAACATTTATTCCACTTTTTGCTTTTCTTGCTCAAAGGTAATTAACCTTCAGGAATCGAATTATTTACTAGAAGCATACAGCCCATCATCAACAGTTCCATTGATTCCAAAGGAAAAATTTACAAAAACAAATTAATATTCTCAGAATTCTTCTGATATTCTGGGCAAATAAACTAATACAACCTAAAACAATTGACTTTTGGGAAAAAGATAGGTCCCTTGGTCTCCACTTTATTATGACAGATGGTCTAACCCTATGGCTAGTGGTCCAAGCTGTGGGAGGGTGTCAGAGCCACCTGGGGCATTTCCTGTACTTCTCAAAATTGAATCCCCACTATATCTATATACTTAAAACTGCTACATGAGACTCATTTATTTGTCTCCAAGGAGAGTATTTAGGTTACATAGCATAAAGGGCAAAATTTAGTTTGTACTCAGAAAATTTTGACTCACCTTCTCTATCAAACATTGTAATATGGCTTCGAATAATTCATTTAACCTCTCAAACTTTAGTTTTCCCCTCTGCAAAGAAGGATAACTATGTCGGTCTCCTTCTAACCATCAGAAAAACATCCAGGCTCTTTCTTATCATGAAATAATTAGCCCTTCTTGAGTCTGTCTCCATCTTTCTGTCCAGTGACACTTCCCCGTCATGCTGTGCCCCACTCCCCCGTCTCACCTATGAAACAGCTCACGGTCATCAGATGGCTCACGCACCCTGCCTGCGTGACTTTGGTAGTTAGCCCTTTCATCTTCCTAGATATTTCCTCCTCCTCTCCACCTGGCAAGAGCTTAGGTGCCAACATTGGACAATACTTTACATTCTCCTTTTGGAACTCATTGCTTTACCCTCTGTGCTCCCACAACCCTGTATTCTTGCTGGAACACTTGATGTATAATTAGTTGCTCATCCCCATTAGATGGTGTGTCCCTCAGGGCCAGGGACTCATTTTTCTTCATTTTGTTTCATCTTGTGTATGTACTTCGTATGTACTGTTGAATAAGATAGTGGACGGATGGGCAGTAAAATGGCTTCTTAAGCTATGATGAAATTGTACGATGCTATCATTTAGCTACCAGCATTGCCTTTTACACTATAAGTAAATTACAGTTAATGGAACAGGTGTGTGAAGATCTTAGGTTGCCTAGCATGCATTCTTTTTTTTTTTAGCATGCATTCTAATACATTGAAGGTATTCAAAATTGTGAAAAACTTAAAAAGTATTGTGAATGTTGAATTAGTAAGTCTAATTGGTTGCGCATCTTCACAAGCACTGAATGTGTGGTTTACATTTTACATTTGAATTAAATATTGTTGGGTTTTAATTTAAAAATGCAGAGAAAATTGATGCCTGGAATTCAGATTTAATAGGAACATATCTTCTCATAGGTCTGAATCCGCTCCTTAGGTGCCCCTTCTGAGTGTTGAGAAATGTTCCCCCAAATATCTTGCTTTTCCATATTTGAAAACAGTCAATCTGACCTGACATGCTCCATCCACATGTCAAGTCCCTTTCAGGAATATAGAGAGGTTTCAGGAATGTAGTTTCAGGTACTAGAGGGTTAAATTCATAACCCAGTGAAATAGTCCTCTGGATCAAAGCTATCCTGCCACTCCACCCTTTAAGGACTAATGGATATTAAGCCATCTTATACAACTCAATTTTATGACTGAGTAAACAGAATCTCAAAGAGCTGCTGTAATCTGTCCAAGTTCAGCACCACAACTGATACCAAAAACAGGATTCCTGAAACAATTTCCAAAGGACCATTCTGCTTCTCTTGACTGACAGGGAAGGGGGAAAGCATGGCCAGTGACTTACGCTCAGTCCTGAGTTGGGCCCCAAAGAGTGCCTCATTTTTTCACATTAAGGTAGAGATTTGACTCATCTGCTCTGGGTTCTCACTTGTCGAGAGTGGAGAAACCATATTTGATGACCAGATGAAAAGACAGCATCTTCCTCTATATTTAAGGCATAAGGGGCTCCTGGGACATGGAACCCTCATCTACTCCAAGGATGGAGAAATGAGAGCAGGTCATCCTAGATCCTGAGTCAGCCAAACTGACTAGAAACCCAGAAAAAAAGAAGCTATCTACCTGCAGTTTCTGGAGCAATACCCAGAGCTCCCTGCTGGAAGTTGCAGAGACATCTGGGAACACCAGTATTCCCAGATGAAGTATTCACTGTGGGAAACACCTTCGTCTGTTGCCCAGTCCTCAAACTCTAAATGAACTGCTCTGTGACTTTGGGAAGTTCACTTATCCTCTCTGGACTTTGATTTTCTCAGGTAAGTAAGTCAGAAAACAATGTTCTCTCACAATAGAAATCTTAGAGTTCTATTTTTAACTTTTTAGAGAACCTCCATAGCAATTGTACTACTACATATTTACCCAAAGGGTACAAAAACACTAATCCAAAGGGTATATACACCCTAATGTTTATAGCAGCATTATCTACAAAATCCAAATTATGGATGCAGCCCAAGTATCTATCCACTGATGAATGGATAAAGAAGATGTTGTACATACACACACACAGTGGCATATTACTCAGCCATAAACAAGAATGAAATCTTGCCATTTGCAAAAACAAGGATGAAGCTAGAGAGTATTACGCTCAGTGAAATAAGTCAGAGAAAGACTAACATCACCTGATTTCACTCATATGTGGAATTTAAGAAGCAAAACAAACAAGCAAAGGGAACAAAAGAGGCAAATGAAGTAACAGACTCTTAACTGTGGGGAATATACTGATCTTTTCCAGAGGGGAAGTGGGTAGGGGGATGGGTCAAATAGTTGATGGGGACTAAGTAGTCCACTTGTTGTGATAAGCACCGGGTGTTGTATGGAAGTGTTGAATCACTATATTGTACACCTGAAAGTAATACTACACTGTATGCTAACTAACTGAAATTTAAATAATAACAGAAAAATAAGAGCTGAACAAATAAAAAGGTCAATTTCATTCAGGCTAATTTCTATAGGGAAAACAACCAATATCTGAAAATTAAAATGTCTCCCTTGAGTGGTTTTGCTTTGATTTTTATAGGGAAAGCAGAAAAGTTATAGATGGAGTGATTTAGTGTTGAGGTTTCAATCTGGGAAATTCTCAGTTGGCTAGCTGAACATTAAATGCTTCTCTATGTTTCTAGCTATTTTAGGAACAGAAAGTTCTAATCTTAGTTAATCACGTGAGATTATATATGTGTGTGTGTGTGTGTGTGTTTAGAAAAAAAATCTTAGAGTTCCCATTTTTGCCATCCTAAGTGTATGAAGTGGTAGCTCATTGTGCTTTTATTTCATATTTCCCCAATCCTTAATGATGCTCAGCACATTTTCTTGTGCTTATTGGCCATTCTTGTATCTTCTTTTTATGAAGAGTCTGCCCATTTTTATTGGGTTAATTGTCTTTTGATAATGATTTGTAGGAATTTTAATTCTGATATATAATAGATATACTTTCTCATTTTTCCTTTAGTTTAAGACTTAAAAAACCCCAAATTTTATCAAGATGTTTAACCATCCTTAATTTCTATACATCTTGCAGCATTTCCTAAAAATGTTTATCCTTTAAGGTGCCTCAGTTGGTTAAGCGGCTGACTCTGGATTTCGGTTCAGGTCATGATCCCATGGTCCTGGGATCCAGCCCTGCATCAGGCTCCCCACTCAGCAAGGAGTCTGCTTGAGGATTCTCTCCCCCACCCACACACTCACACATGCTCTCTCTCTAAAATAAATAAATAAATAA